GGGAGTCCTGCATCCAGCTCTGGAGCCCTCAGCACAGGACAGACCTGGAGCTGTTGGAGCAGGGCCAGAGGAGGCCACAAAAATGATCCAAGGGCTGGAACCCCTCTGCTGGGAGTAAAGGCTGAGGGAGCTGGGGCTGTTCAGCCTGGAGAGGAGAAGGCTCCAGGGAGACCTTAGAGCAGCTGCCAGTGCCTGAAGGGGCCTGCAAGAGAGCTGGAGAGGGATTTTTTACGAGCGGATGGTGTGACAGGACAAGGGGTAATGGCTTCAAACTGAAAGAGGGGAGATTTAGATTAGATATACGAAAGAAATTCTTTACTCTGGGGGTGGTGAGGCACTGGAACAAGTTGCCCAGAGAAGCTGTGGCTGCATCCTCCCTGGCAGTGTTCAAGGCCAGGCTGGATGGAGCTCTGAGAAACCTGGTCTGGTGGAAGATGTCCCTGCCCATGGCGGGGTGGGGGTTGGAACTAGGTGGTCTGTAAAGTCCCTTCCAACCCAAAACATTCTGTGATTCTATGAAATCACTTCTGTTATTTGTTGTTATCCCAATGGCTGCATAATTTCACCATATTTTTCTCTTTCTAACAAAGCATGACAAAGAGGGATCTGGGCAATCCTCATTAAAGTCTTTGTTGTTTGTTTGTTAATCCTTTACTGTTAGCCAGAGCCAAAATCTGGACACCAAAGTAAGTTTTGCTGTCTTCCATCATATTACATAAAAATCCCATCATTTTGTGGACACCAAATACTTCAAAATACACAAATACTTTAATACATACAAGAGTTCATAGTCCATTAAATATAATTAATTCCATGGTCTTTAAAATACACTATCACTGTATTAACTGTAAGAAAAAGGTTTGCACTGGTGTTTATATAGTATTGGTTTGATCTGGCCGATGCAAAACCTTTCGATATACTGCAAGGATTATACTGGAGAGCAGCAGTTCTACTAGAATCCAGAGCATTTTTGTTTAGCTCGAAGTGAAGAAAAGGTACTGTCGGAAGATTATGAAGTGAGGGTGATTAAAGCTGCAGGAGCTAGCAGCAGCGTGGTGTAGCCCATACAGAGAGACTGTGCTGGCTTCCTGTCTAGATGCACTTATTGCAAGTCTGGTGCATCCTGCTGTAGAATCCCACTGAAATGATGTGAGACAATGCAGCACCCCACGATACGCGTGCGACAGGAACCAGGAATTGTGGTGCAGCTTGACTACAGCAACCGATGTCTTCTTTTTACACTTGATTCTCCAGGAAGCTGAATGAGATGATAAGAAGATCTATTGCTTTTTGCTTTAGAAGTGTAAAATCTATCTTTTCCTGTATCTCCAGCTGGTATGAGACTTATCAACTGGAGACAATCAGACTGGTTTAGCTGATATCCCACAGCTGTGACTATTCTTCTTCGTGAACTGTTAACTCATGCTGTCATACAGTATGAATTCTATTTCTCCAGGCAATCTTCAGAAGGAAGATTTATAGCTCTGCAGAAAAGCAGTACAGAGCCCTAAATGTCATTGAAAGAAAAACACAAACCCAGCATTCTGATGCTTTGAACTTCTAAGCATGTGCCTGGATTGCTTTGTAGTTCAGTCCATAGAAAGAGGCAATGCATTAACACCAACTCCACCACAAAGAGGTCCTTGTAATTGTGGGTAGAGATCAACTTTGACATACCAAGATGGGAACTGATGAGTAAGAAATAAATATATATACACACACTTACATATATATTTTAAATATATATAATATATAGTGCACATATATATTGCATGTGTATATATATGTATTTTGTATTTAAAAAGCTTCACATTCCAGTATAGATACATATAAAAATATAAAGAGAGGGGGGCCTTTTGAAGTTAACCTTAAACAGAGAATCTATCGTAAGCAGAATCCTTATTAAGATCATTGAGACATGTTTTCCCTAATTTCAAAATGCAATCAATTCAGACATAGTGTTCCACTGATCACTGAGAAACACAACACAGCAAAAGTGAGAAAAGGGGGGGAAAAAGTTATAAAGGAAAGTTAGATATAGTGTCAAATACATCAGTATATACAGAAGTCCCTTAAGATATCCCATGCTTGGAGGGAACAAAAATGATTTTTTAATCTGAAGTCATAATATGGTCCCTCGGATGTTGTATTTTTTTGTAACCAAATTATCATAGCCAAATGAAAAGGAACTTGAATTATCAGAAAAAGCAGGGTTGAAAATCAACCCTAAAATGTAGTTCACAAACTCTGATATGAGATATGGCTCATGCAGCCTTATTCTGCATCTAAAATATGAAATGTATCACGAGTAGAGAGAATATTGAATGGAAATTCGGAACCTCTGTTGGCCCTGGACTGATTCAATGTCTAAACAGAAATTCTCTCTCTTGAAATCGCTGTGGCCTTCATCTTTACATTGTTGAAATTATGATCACAAAATTAGTGAGTAAATCACCCTAACTTTTTACAAATGTAGACAAAGAAAATATTAAGTGTATCTAACTCTGTAAATCTACAAGTCGTTGGTTTTGCTTGACAATACAGTACAATTTCAGAACTGTAATCAAAGGCTTATGCAAAGTAGGCATGGCAAAACACAGCCACAGTCAATAGGATGATGCCATTGATATTCACAACATTTCTCCAAAGCGGCACTTCACTTGTGTCAGTCAGTTTCTGCTTCAATGCTTCCTCTTCCTCCTTGCTCAGTTTGGGTCCTTTTTGTTGATCTAAGCCACAGAACCAGTTGTATGCTTTCTTGCAGCACCCAGGTTCTTCACTTTCCTCAACTGGAAGGAATAACACACTGGTCATGAAATGCACACACGGAGCACTGCATGCACTGGAGGATCTCTGTGACTGAGGATATTCCTATATTTAATACAGCAGTTCTGATTTATGGTCATAGTCACATGGAAACATTTTAGTACAAGGTAGTACGAGAATCACGTTAGTATTGTGTTTCCACAGCTCTCCTGGAAAAAGAGTGGTTTTCTAGATGTTGCAAGCGAGACTTTTGCAACAGACACTTACTCCTTTTGCAGCCTAGAGACTTGGTATGGTATTGGAGAAGAAACCATGCTGCAAAGCTTTAACTTCATATTTTCAATACTTTCTACACTTTTAATTAAAAGACAAATAAATGAATTTGAGGATACTTATGAAGAGGAATTTGGCAGCAGAACCAGAAACCCAGCGAAGAGAGCAGGTGGTTTTGCCCGGATGGATGTCTGGCAATTTGCTTTCATGGTGCCTTACACCACAGCCTTGCTCCTTTAATCCTGGCTACTAGCCACTATTTCCAAGAAAACTCGTGTTGTTTCATTCCAAGCACTAGAGGCACATGCAGTTCTGCCAATGCACACCACCTCTGACCTGAAGCACCTCCATTGTTTTAGTCCCAGAACTCTCGCCTAGCTACCTAGAGAATGAGATTTTCTCCCTTCAGATCCACTTCTCTTCTGATTTACACTGAGCTTGATAGATTGGTAAAAGGCAGCTTACTAGCCATTTAAACATGGGAGGCTTGAGGTTTTGTTGTTGGAGAGGGAGTGTGTCTTTGAATATCAAGCATGTTTATGTTTCTTCAGGAATGAAATAGGTTTACTCAAATATATTGATAGAATTGATAGATATTCAACAGTTACCTGATTCCTTATGTTTTTCATCGTCTTTGTTCTGTTCCTCCTCTGCATCAAGATCAATACGTTGTTCTTTACTGTTCCGCAAAGACCAGCACAAGCGGTAAAGCTGCCGTGAAAAAAAATGACTTTATAAATCTACAGCCTTACTACACAGAGACAAATCAGCCTGACCAGCACATGAACAAGTTATAAAGCCATGGCATCCCAAATGTCTGATAAGTCGATGTTTAAGATTATGAGGAGTCACTGAAGATTTTGTGACAGATAAATAAAGACTATATCCTTTGCTTTCTTACCAGGGCTATGTGATGTGGGAAGCTGAAATGTCAGGAGGTAATACGCCAGATACCAGTGTTTAAAACTAGTTGTTTCATTGAGTTTCATTCCTTGAGGAGCAGAAGTGTAATAATACTCACATGTACATCAGGAATGGGCTTAGTCATGTAGGAGACTGCCAGGATGACGATGGCGGAAACCCCAAAAAGAATAATTGCAAAGTAAAGGTAGTGAATCCCACAGATGATGAATGGGCAGTTGGAAGGGGACACACAGCTGCCAGTTCCGTAGGCAAACTCTGTAATCATTCTACTGAGTCCAGTTAGAAGCCCAACCATCAGGCCCCAGAAGGCACCCTGCAGACAAAATGACAAAATTTATCAAAATGAGTAATTTCAGGCATGGAAATAAGCTCTAAGCTCTGAACAGTTGCTGGAGGAAACATGCGGGGAGTTGTGTGTTACATTGGCTTTGACACATGGGTTTTAACCCAGATACTTTCAGTGACTGCATTTACAGCTCAGTGTATTAATGCAACCAAAACAGGCAATGACCAGCATCTCAGAGAAAGAACATGGAGGACACCTTATCCAGCTCATTTCCCAAAGTTCCTCCGTCTCCACACGAAGCTGACATTTAGCCGTATTGGAATAGGAAATAGAGCATCCACTGCAGGTGAAACAGGCTTTGCTTGGATATACACACAAATAACCACTAAACTAGTCTCTAGAGAAAATAGTGAGAAAAAAGTTTGAGCCATATTCAAAAAGCTGCTCTCTCTAGGCTTTCCCGTTGAACTCATCCTCCTTGAAGCAAACTTGAGCAAGAGGCAAGTATTGCTATTCTAGTACTATAGAAAAGAAACCGAATCCCTGAGTACTGAGTGTTCAGAATGTCTGAGACCCCAGTTACCATGACTGGCCTATGGTCCACAGACCTCATGCCTTCCGAGTTACTTACAAAGGCTCAAGTACAATATGTCTCAGTTCACTGCTCTAATCAAAGTCAGTGACTCCCAGGGTAGGTCCTAAAAGCAACGGGAACCACTGCATAAAACAACAGCATGTTTGTTTAAAAGAGTGTGGACAAGATATATAGTGGTCAAGAGGAAGGTGCAAGGTGATATGTTTGGTGACCAATATCCTGAAGGATTACTTTCAAATATGTCCCCACAAATTATCCATCTGACACAGTTCTTGACAAAGTGATAGATAACCTAAGTTTCAGAGCTATCTAGGATTTCCTAGGTAGCTGTTTATTTATCAGAATAGCAAAGAACTTTTTCAAACTCATCTCCGAAACCTCAGGCCCTGGGGTATGGAAACACAGAATCTCTGGGCTGTAGCAGGATTAAAATAAACAGGAAGAATTTGCTGGTAAAAGACACCAAAACAAAAAAGCAGTTCTCCCAGTGCCTAAAGGAACATGCAGCATACCTGTTTCTGAATTTGTACTTGCCTGCTCATTGACCCGCTTGCAGAAGACGGCAAGCAGGAAGACAGCAGCAATGGGAGGTCCCAGGTAGCTAGTAATCGACTGAATATAATCGAAGAGCTGCCCACTTTGAGCTGACTGCACCACAGGAACCCAGGCAATGCTGATGCCAATTAAAAGTAACATAAAAGCCCTGTAAATATAGCCAGATATTCAATTAGCCACCTGCTTAGAAGCATCTATCAGAAAGAAAAAAACAGCAATTAATCAATAATTTAAATGTCTATTTTATCTTTCAACCAGCAAAATCAATGGTAATGGCCAATTACCATCGAACAAACAAAAGAAATCCAAGCTGGATATAGTGTCTGTCAAATATCCATCAGCATACAGCTAAACATGCAATCAAAACATAGAAAAACACATTTTTCCTTTGTCTGTTATGTCTAGAGACAAGTCCATAGCAGATCAACTAGAAGAACTAATTCATTAATGCTGTAGTATGGTGTAGCATAAAGCCTATGAAGATATTTTGAAATAGTTCCCTTCAAATAACAGTAGGAAGTCTTGAGAATTAGTTTAGCTACTTCATGCACCACTGTCAATTACAATGGCAGCAAGCCCTTTTTTTTTCCCCCAGAGCAAAGCGTGAGGTGTGAGAGGCTGCCTGAGGCCCTGCTGCCCTGCCCGCACGCTGCGCAAGCAGGGTTTCACCCAGGTGCTCGGGCATTTTTTGGAGGCTGCAGGCTGTGAAGCAGCTAGTGCTCGCTGTGCTTGTGGGGCTGGGGAAGACTCGGCTGCGCTTACCTTCCAGCTAACATAAGCTCTTTCTCAGATGGTCGTGATCGAATTTTGGTGTAAATGTCCATAGTGAACAAGGTACTGGCACTGTTAAAAATGGAAGTCAGGGAGCTCATAAGGGAGGCCAGCATGACTGACAACATCAGACCCCGCAGACCTGAAACATAAAGATATGTGAAGTGGGATGAGCATCCTGTGAAGAGTCTCCATCGGTGGCACCACCCGCAGCGCCTGTCTGACCCTTTCAAGTCAGCCAGCCGTGAGCCTGTCTGGTGTATTTATGGGCTGATGTCTGGCTGCCGTTCCCTCACAATGCAGGCAGAGTAATGTCTGCTGAGCTTTGGAAAATCAGTTTACAGCAGTGACAGGGCAACTCTCGAGCTTTTAGAACATAGGTACTTCTTTCATGAATACTGTCTGATTAAATGTTGAAGAAAGAAGGAAAAAATACTAAGCAGACTTTTCCCAAGAGTTAAAAAAATAATTTCTCTTGTTTGCAGGCAAATGCTCACTAGCTTGTGGTATATTTGTAAACCAATTTTATGGCAAACAAAAATTTTTTTTACTATTTGAAAATCAGAGTAAGCCTCTTTTCCAGGTGGTATGATCTAGTCAATGCAGTATGGGGAAGTACTGCAGTATTTTAATAATATTATGTACAACAGTTGTAATACAATGGGGAAGTGTTAAAGATATCGAGGGAGTACCATGGTCTCTATGATACTGTAATCTGTCTTTCTAGCCTTATGAACCAGCTCTGTGGTTTTCTGCAGAAATTGATCATCTATGTATATGTTGTCGTCTCCCAAGTGGTGCCTTATTCCCTCATTGAACAGATGTTCTATGGGACAAGGTGTACATCGAATATTTTCTCCTCCCACCTCAGCGGGTTTTGCAGCAGGACTGCGTGTGTATGCCTCCAAGTCAGAAATCTTGGCAGAGACAGTCTTTTATAAACCATTGGCGAAGCAGGTCATTTTTTTACTTTCACAGAAAAGGAGCTCGATTACCATTTCATGACCCAGAATTTGCCAGCTGAGAGCTGACATTATCAGCACGTAGCTATTCAGCATCTACAGCTACAACTAATACAGACTACCCCCGCAATTAATAGTGCAGAGTTCTAGCAGGAATTTTTGAACTAAGTCTGGGACTTGGGCTCCCTCTATCACCTGTTTTTAAAGTCTGGCAGCCTCACCTATCCTCAAGCAAGCAAACAGACAAGAAAATACAGACAGTGTCTTACCATTTGGCATAAGCTCAACTACCATTTTCGGATAAGCAATATTTGTACAGCCAACCGAGGTGCCACAGTACTGCCTGCAGACTTCAGGCACCACACAAGCCACCACGTCTGAGGAGAAGATAATGAAACAGAGTTAGACAAGGTCATATAAACAACAGATTGCTCCCAAATAATCAGAGCTTCTAAAATTTGTCACTGTGTTGAACCACTGGATTGGCATGCTTGGTATCATCCTTGGTGTGCTGGCAGGGAGGAAGGTGATTCTAAGCCTCTATCCTTCCTTTCCTCTCTAAAAGAATAGTGAGAAGTGATGCAGGTAAAAAAAAAGTTTTTAAAAACCAGCATTAATTTGTCAGGCCAGGACTGAACACCACAAGGAAAGCAAGTAGAAAAACAAGCAGAAGAACAGAAAGATCCCTTCCTCCAGCCTGAACATCTCTCCTCTGCCTGCTGTTACGCACACTGATGGTTAGAGAGAAGGGAGACCGGTGTGTCCCCCACACTGCACTCGGGACTGTCCATGGCCCAAAATATCATGTGAGGGGTGACCCTCTTCCTCTGACTGCCAGCAGAGTATCAGTCCTGAACAGCGTTTTCCACTCATTCAGCCAGAGTGGGGCTGTAACAAACAGGCAGCTGGGGAGGGACACTGGAATTTCCTCCCCAGACAGCAATAACATTAGCAGAAACCTGGGATCAGGAAGAAGAGGAAGACCTGCGGCTTCTCACAGCGTAGTTAGGTTTTGTGCATACCTGTGCCTGGACAGTTTGGATGACAAGATGACAATCTAGGGGCAGAGGATAGGAAGTTGGGAGAGATTGGCAGTGAAAGATAGGAGAGCAAGAAGAAATTTGCATTTCTGTATTTATATGCATACCGGTATACAAAATTCGGCTGATCATTCCAGGCATCACTATAATAAACATGGGCAAAAGTTTCAGGTATCCGCACGTGATACAACCAGCCTTCACATGGGACATGTTCTTGCCAGAGAGACATCTTTGGACAATGACCTGTCAATGAGATGTGGCAAGCATGCATGACTCAGCCACGAACAGCATTTTCGCGAACGAGGAAAAATAAAAACTACATGAAAATCAAAGGATATATTTGAAATAAATGAAGGAAAATATCAGTTATCCTGTGTAGGTTTAAGAGGTAAGACTCTTTCTGACAAGATGTGCTTAAAGCAGATTGACTAAAAAGCCAAAAAGGAATTAAATATTTACCTGAGCAACAGATACAGTTACACTGGGGTTTTGTTCATTTGTTTACAAATTGTGAAAATTATCTTTCTCACAATTCAGAATGCAGATACATCACTTGCTAAAGATTGGACACATTCTCATGTCGCAGTGGCAGAAGCACACATTCCTCTACTCACGTCAGCGTGATCTTTTGGGGAAACTGGACGGTAGGTTTGAGGGAGAAGGAAGGAGGACTGGGAAGAGTCTCCAGGCTGAAAGACCTGACATATAAAGAACATCCTCCCAAGAGTGTGCATGCAAAGATGAAAGCCACACAAATAGGAAACAACCTAGTATTACTGAATGGGGAATTGTATCTAGATCCAGTCTAATGAGGACCATTTGATGCCTGGTTCCCTAAGTAAATGTTCACATTACAACCTCTCTGTGTGGCCACACACAATGAATGAGAAAAGAATCGTACGCAGTATCTGCTAGGCACAGTGTATGAGAAGAATTGAAAGAACTCCCGTTCCATTTTCATGGGAGCAGTTTAGAAACCAGAAACGGAAAAGTGACTGACCAGTCTTGAAATAATTGCCATTTCTGTGACCCAGCTCTGAATTACAGTGGGGGAAGAGTACCCCTAGGGCACACTACACTGCAGAGTTTTGTGTTCTACATTTCCAAGCATATGGCTTCCACGTTACCTGATCTGTGCACCAGTACCACAAAGCAAGGATGGTCAAACCAAAGATGAGCCCTGGCCATGGCAGGTCTCCGGTGACAGCATCTCGGAAGATGTGAAAGGAATCCTTCCGAGGAGTGTAGCAGCTTGCATCAATCGTAGTATTCCCATAGGAGACATTGGATGGAATTGCTTCCATGTATTTCTGCATGAAGGTATCATAACTTCCTACTTCATGAAATGCTGAAAAATAGAAAGTAAACGTAGCGATAAAGTATTTAACACCGGCATCTCAAACAGAGCTAGAGAATGTGTGTAGAAAAACCTCCTTAATATGGATGTAAAAAACCCCTAGCCAGTATACATCGACATTTTCAGAAAACAGTTGTATTGGGTTTGTGTGGCAAGGGTTGGTAGCAGGGGGGCTATAGGGGGGGCTTCTGTGAGAAGCTGCGAGAAGCTTCCTCCATGTCTGATAAAGGCAGTGGCAACCAACTCTAAGACGGACTGGCCGCTGGCCAAGGCCAAGCCAGTCAGGGACAGTGGTAGCGCCTCTGTGAGAACGTATTTAAGAAGGGGAA